ATTAGGATTTAAAATCAGTGTTTTGGGATCCAAACTAAAGACCATACTCTTACTAAATATATTTGTTTGATTTGGGCTCATTTTTGGGCCAAAGCCGAACAATTTTGTTTTGAATAAGATTTGGGCCTCAATTTTGCTTATGTACTGCCCAACTTCAGCATTAGTTCACCCGGCCTTGGGCTTCATGTATGGAGCCCGTTTGTGATTGTTGTTTGTTGAACAAGCAGCTAGGTTAAGGACAAGTCATATTAGAAAAAATATAAAATAGGTTATGGCCCAATCCCTTGTGCAGAATTTTTATTAGACAGTAGATTCAATTTTCGGGCATTGAACTCAATAGTCCATGGCCCTTCAAGCCTTAGTCTAGTATCCTTTAAAAAATGAAATCGAGGTGCGTCGCGCCAAACAAAAATCATAAATTGCGTGCCCCCCCTTTAAATACTTCCAGTAAAATACTTAGAACTCGGGACGTGCCATTTAGCGATTTTTCATGGCCTCCCGCAAAGTTATCAACACGTTAGTTGCTTTAGGTGCGCATTTTAATAATATACTTTCCTAAACTCGGGTGCACATTTATGTGACTCAAATCCAAATCTCAACGGAGTCGGAATGTGTCAAAAATCGCGGGTGCATTTATGTGACGTGGTTCGAGACGCGTTTTCACGACGTTGCAATTCTCTTTAAAAATAATAATAAAAGCGGTTTAAATTTAAAAAGCACATAAGTTAAAACATGTATTAAAATCAAATTTTTAGCCAATTATAATAATTTAAGCGACCGTGCTAGAACCACGGGATCCGGGGGTGCCTAACACCTTCCCTCGGGTCAACAGAATTCCTTATTCAAAATTTTTGGTTCGCAGACTCCAAATGGGAAGTCGAAATTTTCCTCGATCTGGGATTCAAGTTAAACCGGTGACTTGGGACACCAAAAGCCAATCCTATCCCAAGTGGCGACTCTAAAAATAAATAAATAATCCCATTTCAAATAATGTCACTTTAAATGGAAAAACTCCCTTATACATTATCCTTCGGGGTAGGTGTGTAAAAAAGGAGGTGTGACACCCCTCGGGCATAACATCACTCAGAATCAGCCCCTCGGGCAAGCCTTACAATCAGTCACATACAACCCCTTGGGCATATCACATATCACTCACTCGGGGTACCCGCGCTCACTGGGGGTGTGCAGACTCCGGATGGGCTCCTACAACCCAAGCGCTATAACAAGCTACCTCATAATCAATAATCAGTAACAACATGCTGCGACGCGCAGCCCGATCCCATAATATTCTCACAAGAACAGGCCCTCGGCCTCACTCAGTCATAAACCTCTCAAGCCCCTCGGGCTATCAGTAAAAATCAGGGTGCTCAACCCAAAATAATATTTTATATGCATCAAAATAGTGTAATAAAGACTGAGTTATAAAATCAGTAAACATAGCATGACTGAGTATAGATTTTCAATCAAAACAGTGAGAGGATAATAAGAAAAGGCCACTAAGAGTCCAAACAGCTTTGGCACAAGGCCCAAATATGCCATTCAGCCCAGTTTGTAGAAGTTCTTTCTAAAACACATATGTATCATATAGTTTTCAGTCAAATACGCAACTTTATAGTTGCTACGGGATGGACCAAGTCACAATACCCAATGGTGCACGCCCACACGCTCGTCACCTAGCATGTTCGTCACCTCAAAGAAGTACAACGATGTGAAATCAGGGGTTTCATACCCTCGGGACTAGATTTACAATTATTACTTACCTCAAACCGGTAAAATCCCTACTCCGCGATGCCCTTGCCTCTGGAATCGGCCTCCAAACATCCCCAGTATAACCAAAAATAATACAATGCAATCAATACAGGCCAAGGAACCAATTCCATACGAAAAACTATCAATTTAGGCCAAAATCCCGAAATTCACCCAAACCCGGCCCCCGGGCTCACGTCTCGAAATCCGACAAAAATCACAAAACTAGAAAGCTCTTTCACTCACGAGTCTATCCATACCAAATTCATCAAACTCTGATATCAAATGGTCTCTCAAATCCCCAAATCAAACTCTCCAATTATCAAGCCCTAACCCCCTCAATTTCATCCCTAATTTCTACTGATTTCATGCTTAAAAAGCTGAAAATTACCATAATCACAACTATTAAGCTCAAATACTTACCCCAATGTAAACCCCCTTTGATTCCCTCTTCAAAACTCTCCAAAAAGCTCCAAGTCCGAATGAAAATGGTGCAAAATAACCCAAAATTCGCGAAGGGTTCAATTTATACCTTCTACCCAGGCATTTCCGCACATGCGGCCCTTTTCTCGCACCTGCACAGCCGGTTCTGCGCCCAAGAGTCCGCATCTGTGGAAATCACTTACTCCTCCAAAACCGCTTCTGTGGTCACCACACTGCACCTGCGGTCCAACCTCAGATTCCAAATCCCGCATCTACGGTTCTTTTCCGCATTTACGACCATCGCACCTGCAGTTCCCACTCCGTAAGTGCGGTTACATCAGAAGCAGCAACTTCGGCTGCACAATTCTATCTCCAAACCTTCTGTTAACCATCCGAATTCATCTTGTGGCCCTCGGGACCTCAACCGTAACTACCAACAAGTCACATATCAACATTCAAACTTAGTCGAACCTTCAGAACACTTAAAACAACATCAAAACACCAAATCACCCTCAGATTTAAGCCTAAGAACTTCTAAACTTCTGAATTTCGCAAACGATGCCGAAACTTATCAAACCTCGTCTGAATGACCTAAAATTTTGCACACATATCATAAATGACACTACGGACCTACTCCAATTTCCAGAATTCCATTCCGACCCCGATATTAAAATTTCCACTACCGACCGAGAATCGCCAAATTTTCAATTTCGCCAATTCAAGCCTAATTCTACCACGGACCTCAAAATCACATTCCAGACGCGCTCTCCAGTCCAAAATCACCTAACGAAACTAATCGAACCATCAGAATTCACATCCGAGATCGTTTACACATAAGTCAACATCCGATTGACTTTTCCAACCCAAACTTCTAAATATGAGACTAAGTGTCTCATTTCACACCGAAACCACTCCAGACCCGAACCAACCAACACGATTCGATGAAATACAACTGAGGAACACATAAGGAGGTAGAAATGTAGGAAACGGGGCTATAACTCAGGAAACGACCGGCCGGGTCGTTATATATCTCTTTTCCAACTGCTTATTTTTCCCCCATAATGTTGGGTATACTGATTCATCAATATGGCAATCAGCAAATCTTGCGGTAAACAAATCTCTAGTCATTGGTTCCAAATATTTTATAATAGAAGGAGATTCATACCCACATATATCCCCAATCTTCTTTGAGGACCCATCTTTGTGCGTTGTGGTGGAGCAATTAGAACATATACCGCACATCAAATATTCTAAGATGGGAAACATTTGGTTCCTGGCCAAAAACTAATTGTAATGGGGAGACTTTATGATAACTTGCAGGCATGATCCGCACAAGAGCTGTTGCATGCAAAATAGCATGACCCCATGCCGAAATGGGGAAGTTTTGTTCTCATAAGCATTGGCCTAGCAATTAATTGGAGGCGTTTGATCAATGACTCCGCTAGACCATTTTGAGTATGAACATGAGCAAATGGATGCTCAATTGTTATCCCAGTTGATATACAATAATCATTAAAGGCTTAGGACGTAAATTCACCAGCATTATCAAGACAAAGTATCTTAATTGCATAATCTGGAAACTGTGCTCTTAATCTTATTAATTGAGCCAGTAACCTCACAAAGGGCAAATTGCGAGTTGATAACAAGCACACATGTGACCATCTTGTAAATGCATCTATCAAAACCATATAATATTTGAATGGTCCACATGGAGGGTGTATGGGACCACATATATCACCTGTATACGTTCCAAAAATACAGAGGATTCAACTCCAACTTTAATTATTGATGGTCTAATAGTCAGTTTGCCTTGAGAACATGTGACGCAAGAGAATTTTTTAGTCTGAAGAATCTTCCGGTTCTTTAATGCATGGCCATGTGAATTCTCAATTATTTTGCGCATCATATTATAACCGCGATGGCCCAACCGATCATGCCAAATAATAAAATTATTAGTAAACCCTTTGTTTACTATGGCATGTGATTCGACTACACTAATACTAGTGTAGTATAATCCGGAGGAAAATGCGGGAAATTTTTCAACAACATGCTTCTTTTCCGCTTTTATTGTAGTAATATAAAGATATTCAACCTTTCCTTCATTGTTGGTCTCAACATGACAGGCATTTTGGTGAATATCTTTGAAACTCAACAAGTTTCGTTGAGACCTATTACAATATAATGCATCATTAACATCCAATATAGTTTCTCTTGGTAGTAATAACGTCGCTCTTCCAGAGCCCTCAATTAATTTGTACTACCACATATTGTTATGATATTGGCTTATTTCATAATTAAATAAGAGAAACATCTCTTATCTTTTAATATGGTGTGCATCGTAACACTATCAAGAAGGCATATTTCTTCTTTATTATTCATACAGCCAACTGAAGATTGGGAAGTTTTGATATTCTTCAAAAATAAAAGGAAAGAAAGAAAGAAAAATTCATCATAAGTAATACTGAAAAATTTAAGAGCAAAATAAACTATACTTAAGAAGTAAATAATGACAACATAAAACGTTTTATTCAAATATGAACTTCATTGAGAAAAATAATTATTTTTATAATTTTTCCCAGTAATAAGTCTTCAGTTGTGATGCTCTAAGAAGTCTCCAGCTTCTAGATGAGTAATATCTACGAGGCCTTCAAAAATATCATCTTTATAGGCAAGGTTTGCTTCAACTTTATCATGATTATTCATAGAGCCCGCCTCGACATCATTTGGAAAGGTCAAGTGAATTTCAACCTTATTTTGTTTCCCTTTTATGGAGGCTTGATTAGGTTTGACAAAATGTTCAGGCGTATCATAAATTCGTGCCCAATAGTTTTTCATACCACATCGGTGGCAAATATTACCTTTGCCTTTTGAAGGATTATTTTGAGAACCCTTATTGTTCGCTTATAACGACCACCACCATGGCGATTATTATTTCGCCCCTTGCCACGCCCACGTATATTTATATGACCACGATAATTATTTTGTCTTCTTTCAGACCTTGGATCTATCGCTACCAGATTCGCTTCTGGAAATGGAGCTGATCCAGTGGGGCGGGCTTCATGGTTTTTCTTTAAAAGGGCATTATGTTGTTCAGCCACCAAAAGACATGAAATTAACTCAGAATATTTCTTAAAGCCCTTTTCACGGTATTGCTGCTGTAACACCATGTTTGAGGCATGAAAAGTGGAAAGAGTCTTTTCCAACATGTCCTCATCATTCATAGGTTCCCCACATAATTTTAGTTGGAAAATTATTCTATATACAACAGGATTATATTCACTTATGGTCTTATAATCTTGTAGTCGTAAGTGCATCCACTCACGACGAGCTCTTGGCAATACCGTGGCCTTTAGCTGGTCATATCGTTCCTTCAAACCAGTCCATAATTGAAATGGATCTTTCAAGGTTAAATATTCACGTTTTAACCCTTCATCGAGATGATGGCCAAGCAAAATCATGGCTTTCGCCTTATCCTGACTTGATGCTTCATTTCCTTCTTTAATAGTGTCACCAAGGCCTTTAGCGTCAAGGTGATTTTCAGCATCAAGTACCCATGGCAAATAGTTATTCCGAGAGATGTCAAGTGCCACAAATTCAAGTTCTGACGAATTTGACATAGTGAAAACTAGCATAGAAAATAAGCAAATTAGAATGATATGAATTATTATCAATGAAAAAAAATCAATGCAGAATATAATCGTGTATTAACATTCTCTATATAATTTAGAACAAACAATCGTGTGTAGTGCGATGATGAATTAGTGCTTAATATTACACACAAGAACTTTAGACATGTAAGTATATTTTATGAGAATAAATAAGTTGAAATAATCTCATTAATAGGTACTAGTATATTTTGTTCTACTTAGAAGACGTTTCAATAAGTTATGTAGGCATAAAACTAGATGATATCAATTCTGCCAAGTTTCAACATTGAATACGATTCATTTAATAGTTAAGTCATTAATTTTAAAGTCATTAGTTAGTTTGTACACTTAGGTGATAAATTCATTGAGGGAGAAATTCAAAAATAGCCAGATTTACAAGTGGTCGTTCAAATAGCCCAATTTCAAAAGTAATCAAAATTTAGCCACTTTTCATGTAAAGATAAATCTGATAAAAAACACTGTTCAAAACCCGAAAAATACGCCAGTATATTATGCTGGAGTTCCAGCATAAGTATACTTGAACTCCGGCATACTTATCCTNATGTAAAGACTAATACTCGATAAAAACACTGTTACAAACCCGAAAAATACGCCAGTATATTATGCTGGAACTCCAGCATAATATGATGGAGTTCCAGCATAAGTACACTAGAACTCCAGCATAATATACTGGAGTTCCAGCAAAGTATACCGGTCCAGTTTAATATGCTGGAAGTTCATACACAAGTGCTCGAATCTCCGGTATATTATGCTGGAACTTTTCGTGTGTTGGAGTTCCAGCATAATATGCTGGAAGTTCATACACAGGTGCACCGAACTCCAGTATATTATGCTGGAACGGTCTCTGTTGCAGCAAAATAGTGGCTATTTTTCATTGATTTGGTAAACGCTGGCTATTTTCGAATGACCAGTCCGAAAACTGGCTAGACCGTGCTATTTTTACATTCATTGAAGATACGTTTAAACCTTTTGAAAATTTCGCAAGAATTCCTTCTAAATGCCTATTCTGTCATTACATTTGGATGTGGGATTAATTAGTCTAATCATTGTAATTAAATTTAAGACTTATCTATTTATGTGCAGGTTTAAACTTCTTCGTAAATTATATAATAAAATAACAACTTAACCAAAGCTTATTGTTTTCATACTAAGGCAATTATTATAATCATATTCAAAACAAGTTATGCATATGGTAATAAAATTGCAAGTTAAAGAAGATCCTAATAGAAACGTTATAAACATAAGAATGTATACCTGAATCGGAAAGAAATTAACTACCTCTTTTTGGAAGAAGATAAAAGTCGACTGAAACAGATAACCTCAATTGGTTAGAACTTTGTGCTGATAACGTATAATAAAATTATAGCAATATAAGCCAAGAAATATAGATAAAAATTTTCTTCTATCAAGTTGTACTCAAGTCTATCTTATTGATGTCTTTTGTCGAATCAGAAACACTATATATATAGTGTACAATTTACTTGAGAGTCACAAAATATTAAATGAGTGTAATAATATTCATGTATAATCCAAAATGGTTTATGGAAGAGTTGTTGGACATTCACAAATTCAATGTATTCATAACATGAAAAAAATACTTAAAAATGAAAAGGAATAGTAAGATTAAGAGTCTGTTTGGCCAAGCTTCTGGGAGGCCAAATACTTTTTTAGTTAAAAAGTACTTTTTCAGAAAATTTGAGGTGTTTGGCCAAGACGAAAAAAATACTTTTGAGCAGCAACATAAATAATTTTTCTGCTTTTTGGGAGAAGCTACAAATAAGCAGAAGCAGAAAATTAATATGTTCAAGTAAAAAGTAACCTTATAATAAATTGATATTTTAAAATGGTACCTTCCAGTAAGCAGGTCTCTTTTAAATTATTCAATTTAATATTTTTTTCTTTTCCTTTTTATTTCTACCATACATTTCTTTTCTTTTTTATTCAATCATATTTTTATTCTCTTTCTCCTGTTCCTAAGAGTAGATTTTTAATTTATATTAAATAATATATATATAAATTATCACATAAATAATAAGTAATACTAGATACTCTATGTTATTATGTTGGAATAACTATATTTTATACTGATCAGAGTTTTAAATTTATATTTTTACTTTATGTTTTATATTTTAATTAATTATTTTATAAGAAATATTTAGATTCATTTTTTTAAAAAAATAATACTAATTGCAAACTGAACATTTACCATTATTTTTCGTAATTTGATACTTAAAAGTATTTTTTGAAAATTGACCAAACACAATGCACTTGCAAAAAGCACTACTCGAATGAAATGGTCAAACACAAACTACTATTTTACAAAAATACTTTTTTCGAAAGAAGTTATTTTTGACAACTTGGCCAAACATGTTGTAAGTCCCAAATAAACTATTCATCTTTTCAATAACCAAACTGTTAAGTATGCATCCCAAAAAATTCAATATGCACATACAAAAGATACCACATAAATTGTACATAAAGAAGAAAAAAAAACTCTATATGTTAAATGAATCTAGGGTTTTGATCATCTAGAAGAGTTAATCTAAATACTAAATCTTGATCATCCATCTCAAAAGGAAAAAAATTGCAGAAATATAACATATTTTGGGATTGTCTTTAATTATTGATTCATGCTTGCCCATGAGCAGTACTTCAAAGTCAAAAGTTAAAAGTATTACGCATGGGACAAGCGAAGGGCAATACTTATAAGAGTTGAAGTTTTGCCCATGAGTAAAGCGGAGAAAACACTCAAGACCACCCACTTTTGAACTCTATTTGTGTACTTCACGCCTCAAAAGTTGCTATTTTTTTCGATTTCCCCCAAAAAGATGATGGGATCTTCACAAAAATAGCCACTCGAATTTACAGTTTACTTTTTTACCTTTTTAGTTAGTATACATAAATTATATACGATCATACATATACGATACATAGATCACATATATATTATATATTCATCAATTATTTTAAGTTTAAGCGGGTATTTTAAATTTGGGATTTTTACCTTCCTATACCACATATGAACCTTATTACCCTCAATGTTTAAGGTTTGAGTTAATTACATTTCAGCATACCAAATTACCATTTATATACCATAATTAGTTTAGAGGTATAATTAATTGGTAGTTTTTTACTCCTTAATTAAAGGTGTCCATATATCCCACGTTTCTCTCTCCCCTTAATTCCCAAGATCTGGCCAGCACTGTTTTCCCCCTCCCATTTCTTTCTCTTCTCCATTCCTTCTTCTTCTCAAAAAATACAGAGATGAGACCAATTTTTTATAATTAGATTTTTAGCCAAAGAGATTCAATATGAAACCCATTGTAAATCCCATACAATAATAACGCCAAATACTGGCGGTGGCTGTAGCCAACACCAACTTTGTACATATACAACCCTGAAGATTTTATTAAGGAGTAGTCATGAGCCTTTGACAAGGATGAAGATGGAATAAGAAAGGTTGATTTATTTGTAGTTTTTTTTTTTGTGAAATTTTGTAGATGAAGAGAAAATTTTGTAGTCAACATATTTTTTCAACATAGATTATAGTTTAATTGTAGTATAAATGTAGTAATTTTATAGATACCCTTAAAAACAATACAACTTTATACAATACTTAAACTGATTTGTAGTTTATTTGTAGAAATTTTGTAGATAAAGAGAAAATTTTGTAGTCAACATTTTTTTTTCAACATAGATTGTAGTGTAATTGTAGTAATTTTGTAGATACCCTTCAAAACAATACTGCTTTATACATACGTAAACTGATTTGTAGTTTATTTGTAGATTTTTTATAGAAAATTTGTAGATTAGGAGAAAATTTTGTAGTCAACATTTTTTTTCAACATAGATTGCAGTTTAATTGTAGTATAAATGTAGTAATTTGTAGATACCATTAAAACAATATTGCTTTATACATACTTAAACTGATTTGTAGTTTATTTGTAGATTTTTTGTAGAAAATTTGTTGACTGGAGCTAGAGGAATGGAAACTTTGATTCTCTTTTTCTTCTTCATGGGGGACTCCCCGAAATCAGATTCCAATGTATCTTCAGGCGCAACAAATTGCTGGTGAATCTCAGTAACAGATGATGTTGGAGGCATGAGTTGACTTACTGGGCGTGGATTAAAAGTTGCAGGGCGAGGACGTGAAAAATGAGGAAAGAGAAGCCTGCAGAAAAAAGAGGAAACAAATCTGATGTGAATATGAAAAAATATTTAGTCCCAGATTTTTAGGCGCCTAATTTGGAAGGAATAAGCTATTCAAATATTTATCCCAGATTTGTAGGCGCCTAATTTGGAAGGAATCAGCTCTTAATATTGGGTATTTAATGAATGATATAAATTTTGTAGAAAAAATATAAACATAGCGGATAATAATAAAATTATACACATTTTTAGTAATAATGTTTCATATATGATATAGATAAAAAAAAATCCCATAAAATTTAAGCGCTTGACAGATATTTAAGTTAATTCTTTAAAGAAGTTCTAGGTCCAATAACTGAAGCCCAATTTTAAAATAGACTCGATGAAGAAGAATCAGAAGAAAAGCCCATTGTAACGTTAACTACAGAGTCGCAATAATAACAAAAGCCGCGCCGTCTCTCAGCCTTTCTTTCCCTCTAATTGCTAAAACCTCTGTCTACCCACCCACCTGCCAACAATCCGCCATCGGTCTCTTGCAATTGCTAGTGCTTCCCTTCTAGGTAATATACATGGTCAATCCTTTAGTTTCCTTCTGTAAGTGTTGTTTGACTGACTTTTTTGCCCACTTTCCTTAATGTTTGCTTTTGGTCACTCGTATTTTTCCTTTCTACTATGGTGATTATTTGTGTTTAAATGATTAAAAGCTAAAATATTGATGTGTATACCTCTTATAATTAGCTTACTTCAGTCCTTTTTATTTATTTTGGATTTTGCACTTATTTTTTATGTTTGTTTTTGGA